CTTAGGGACAGACAAGATATGTTACTGAGGGACTCACAGATTTGTTACCTGAGGGCAAAGAAAGTACATAGGGCCACATGAAACGTTACTTAGGGCCACACAGAATCGTTACTTTTGGGCCACAGAAACGTTACTTAAAGGGGCCCCGAATTGGTTTCTTAAAAAACCCGACACAGAAATTTTTATTGAGGGACCAAGAATTGTTTTCTGAGGGCCACAGAACCGTTACTTAGGGCCAAAAGAAACTTTCTTAAAGGGGCCCAAAATTTTTTACTTAGGGGGACAACCCCGAATTGTAAAATGAGGGACCCCAGATTTGTTACTGAGGGGCCCAGAAACGTTTTCTTAGGGCCCGAAAAAAGGTTTCTTAGGGCCACGAAAACGTTTTTTTTAGGGCCACAGTAACCCTTTTCTTTGGGCACAAAAATGTTACTTTGGGGGCCCCAGAATTGTTTCTTAGGGACAGACAAAAGGGAAATTTTTTATGAGGGCCACAGAATTGTTTTGAGGGCCCAGAACCTTTTTTAGGGCCACAGAAAAATTATTTAGGGCCACAGAATCTTTTCCTTTTTGGAAAACAGAAACCCTTTCTAGGGCCCCCCAGAATCGTTAATTAGGGCCGGAAAAAAACGTTACTTAGGGCCACAGAAAAAAGTTAGTTTGGGAACAGAAAAACGTTACTTAGGGGGCAGAAACGTTACTTTTTGGGCCACAGAAATTTTTAAATTAGGGACAGACACAGGAAAATTTTTAATTTAGGGGGGCACAGAATTTTTACTGAGGCCAAAGAAACCCTTACTTAGGGCCCCCAGAAACGTTACTTGGGCCACAGAATTGTTACTTAGGGGACGACACAGAATTGTTTACTGGGAAGGGCCCCAACCAGAATTTTTTACTGAGGGCCACCCAAACCCTTACCTTTTGGGCCACAGAAACGTTACTTAGGGCCCCCAGAAAACTTTTCTTTGGGCCCCCAGGAAACCCTTAAATTTAAGGGCCCCCCCAAAAAAAATGTTACTTGGGCCACAGAATTGTTTTCTTAGGAAAACCCCAGAAAGTTCATTGGGGGGCCCCAAATTGTTACTAAGGGGGCAGGAAAAAATTACTTAGGGCCAGGGAAGTTACTTAGGGGCCCCCAGAAAGTTATTAGGGCACAGAAAGGTTTTTAGGGGACAAGAAAAGTAAATTAGGGGCCCCAGAAAACGTTTTTTAGGGCCACAGAAACTTTTAAAAAAAACCAAATTTTTTAAAAATTTTTTAATTTCCACAAAAAAGTTTTTAGGGAAAAAAATTTAAATTTTTCCATAATCCGTTAAAATTCCCGGAAAAAAACGTTAAATTTAAAAAACGTTTTTTTTTTGGAAAAAATTTTTACTTAAAAACTTTAAAAAACAAATTTTTTTACTTTGAAACCAAAAAAATTTTTTTTTCCAAAAAAAAAACCCTTTTTTAAAAAAAAATTTTAAAAAAAAATTTTTAAAAAAAGTTAACTACCACTTTAAAAAAAAAAAATTTTTAAAAACCCAAAAATTACTTTTTTAAAGAAAATTTTTAAACCAAAATTACTTAAAAACAAAAAAAAAACTTAGGGGGCCCCAGAATTTTACTTAGGGACAGACCCCAGAATTTGGTTTTTTGGGGGGGGCCACAGAAATTTTTACTGAGGGAAAATAGAATTGTTACTTTGGGGGCACGAAATTTTTACTCAAGGGGCACAGAATTGTTACTGAGGGGCACAGAATTGTTTTTGGGGAAAACAGAAATTTTTTACTGAGGGGGCACAGAATTGGTTTCTCAGGGACCCTACACAGAAAAAGTTACTGAGGGGCACAGAATTGTTTTGAAAAACCACAGAACTGTTTTCTTTGGGCCACAAAAAAACTTTCTTTAGGGACCCCAGAATTGTTTTCTTCCCCGGGACGACACTAAAATTTTTTACTCAGGGACAGCACAGAATTGGGTTTTGAGGGGGAAAAAGAATTGTTTCTGAGGGACACCCGAAAATTTTTTACTGAGGGGCACAGAATTTTTTACTGAGGGCCACAGAAAAAGTTTACTTAGGGCCAAGAAAAATTTTTTTTAGGGGGCCCCGAATTTTTAATTTAGGGCAGACAAGAATTCCCTTTCTCAGGGGCAGACACAGAATTGGGTTTCTCAGGGACACGAATTGGGTTTCTGAGGGACACAGAAAAGTTACTTAGGGCCCCAGAAACTTATTAGGGCCCCCAGAAACGTTACTTAGGGCCACGAAATTTTTAAAAAAAATTGGGTTTCCAGGGGGCAGACACAGAAATTTTTTACCCCAGGGACAGACACAGAAATTTTTACTCAGGGACTCAGAAAAAGGGTTTTGAGGGACACAGAATTGTTACCCGAGGGAAAACAGAATTGTTTTCGAGGGACAAAGAAATTTTTTTTATCAGGGACCCCAGGGAAATTTGGGTTTCTCAAAGGGACAGACACCCGAAATTGTTTACTGAGGGAAACAGGAATTGTTTTCTGGGGGGAAACAAAATTGTTAATGAGGGGGCCACAGAAAAAGTTACTTTTTGGGCCACGAAAACGTTACTCAGGGGAAAACGAAATTTTTAAATCAGGGAAAGCCAAAAAGAATTGTTACTCAGGGGGCACAGAATCCCTTGAATTAAAAAATTTTGTCAAAAACAAAAAAGGGAGGGCCGAAGGGGCAAAGTTTTTGGAGCGAGGGAGAACCCTGGGGGCAGAGGAAAGGGGTCGAGGGGAAACACTTTTCGCAGCCAGGGCCCGTTGCCCCCCCCGGTTTTCATCCAGTACAGTGAGGGAAAAAAACTTTAAAAAAGAGGGCGGTTTAGGGACGGGGGGGAAAACATCCGCCTCTTTAGCAACCACGAAAAGTTGGCGAGGAGAGTGGCTCGGTAGCCGGGTTTTTAGAGACATTTTTTATGACCCACACGCCCCAAGGGCCCAGGGGGGGTAGTAGTGAGGCGGAGACCCAATTGGGTGATGGGTTTAGGTTTATCGCCCCTTGGCAAACCCCCGTCGTCATCAGGGTATTGCTTTTCCCCATCCCTCAAAGGGGAAGAGGGGGGTTTTGGGGAGCCCTTGGGGCCCCCGCCCCCCCTTTCCAAAAACAGTCGGGGTTGGGGTTTGGGGTCCAACCGCCACCCAACTTCCCCGAATTTTGCCCCCCTTTCAGGTCCCTTTTCCCCACCCCACTGTGGTGTTTCCCTTTTTTTTCATAGGGTGGGTGGCAGATTACGGGGGCCCCCCAAAGCTGCCTGCCAGGCCCCCCAAACTGCCATGGGCCCCTTTTACCCCCCCTCCTCATTGGGGTTTTCCTGCCCCCGGGGCCACCCAGGTTTTTCTAATGCCATTTTTGCCACTTTCAGGTTTCCAAAACTGCTGGTGTGTTCCAAATTTTTTTTCATAGGGTGTGGCGTTACGGGGGCCCCCCATATTCTGGGCCCCCCTTGGCCCAAGGCCCCTAATTCTGGGCCCTTGGGGCCCTGTACCCCCGCCTTTTCCCCCCATGCCCCCGCCTTTCCCCAGGGCCCCCCAGGGGGTTTTTTCCTTTTTTTGGGTCCGTTAAAGGCCCCCTTCCCCCCTTTGTGGGCCCTGCCCCCGTCTCCCCTCCGGGGGGGGAGGCCCCAACTTCTGCCTGGGGGCCACTTTTCCCTTGGGTCCCCCCCTCACCCCCACCCTTTTCCTGGTGGGGGGTCCCTTTTAAATTTTTTTGTCAATTTTTGGGGGTGCCTTTTTGGCAGGGAAAAATTAACGGGCCCCCATTTTGGGGTGCTTTTCCAGGCCTTTATCTGGCCCAAAAAAGGGGGCCCCCCTGGGGACCGGCCTTCCCCCCATTTCTGGCCCGCCCGGTTCCACCCCTGTCCCCATTTTTGGCCGGGCCCCCTGGGAAAATGCCTTCCCTTTTGCTGTCTCCCTCGCCACACTCGCCATGGGGCCACTTTTTTAGGTCTCCTCACACCTGCTGGTGTGTTTTCCCTTTTTTGTCATAAAGGGTTTCTGGGGAGATTAAAGGGCCTCCCATTGGGTTTTTCCCCCGGGCCCGGCCCGTAAACTGCCATGGGCCCCTTAACCCCCCCCCCCCCTCATGCTGCAGCCAGGTCCCCCAGTTTCCTCGTGGGGGCCCTGTACGGCCTCCCCTTGCTTTCTGTCCCCCCATCGCCCCCACCTGCCATTTTCCCCTTTCAGGTCTCCTCACCAAAATGCCCGGTGTGTTCCAATTTTTTTTCATAGGGTGCTGGAAAATTTTCGGGGGGGGCCCCCCATAGCTTTCTGCCAGGGCCCCCAATTTTGCCATGGGCCCCTGTACCCCCCCTCCTCTGCCTTTCTGCCAGGTCCACAGTGGGCCCCCATGGGTCCCCCCTACGGCCCTTTTCCCCCTTTCTGCTGTCTCCCCTCGCCACACTCTGCCCTGGGCCACTTTTTAGGTCTACCAACACGCTGGTGTGTTTTCCAAATTTTTTTTTTATAGGGTGGCCCGGGCAGATTACGGGCCTCCCATGCTGGGGTGCCAGGCCCCTTATCTGCCATGGGGCCTTTTACCCCCCTCCCATGCTGCTGGGCCCGGTCCAAAAGTCTTTCATGGGTCCCTGTACGGCCCCCCCATTGCTGCTGTTCTCCATCGACACCACCTCTGCCATTTGCCACTTTCAGGTCTCCTCACACACTGCTGGTGTGTTCCATTTTTTGTCATAGGGTGCTGGCAGATTTCGGCCTCCCATTGCTTGCTGCAGGCCGTATCTCTGCCCATGGGCTCCCGTACCGACTCCTATTGCTGCTGCCAGGCCGCGCGTAATCTGTCATGGGCCCCTGTTGTCGCTTGTTTGGCTTATTCCGCTCGTCAGATGCTCCTTCTCTGTGCTACACCTCTTCACGGATTCCGTTCAGCAGTCTTTCTTGGAATCGTTTCAAGATGTCAAACAGTTTGCGAGCAGCACCGACGGGGCAGAAGCTGATCACGTCTCCTGTCCAAGTTGCTGCTGCCAGGCTCGTAATCTGTCATGCGCCCCTGTACGCCTCCTCATGCTGCTGCCAGGTCCAGAGTGTGTCATGGGTCCCGTGTAACGGCCTCCCATTGCTCGCTGCCAGGCCCCGTAATCTGCCATGGGCCCCGTACCAACTTCCTCATGCTGCTGCCAGGCCCGTAATCTGTCATGGGCCCCTGTACCGCCCTCCTCATGCTGCTCGCCAGGTCCAGAGTGTGTCATGGGTCCCTGTACGGCCTCCCATTGCTGCTGTCTCCATCCGGGGCCACACTCTGACATGTGCCACTTTCAGGTCTACCTCACACTGCTGGTCGGTTTCCATTTTTGTCATAGGGTGCTGTAATGGCCTCCCCATTGCTGCTGCCTCACCGCCACACTGTGGCGTTATTTTCCACTCCACACTCTGGTTTTGGCCCCGTGAACTGCCCAAATGAGTGAAGTGTGCGGTGATTCCTAAGATCGACGGCACTCATCTGCATGTCATACTGACTGTCAGTATTATTTCTCTTCCACAGCAGAACTCCCAAGGGCATTTACAAATTAAAGGTACAGTGTTCTGCACTAATATAAAGGCTCTCTGAACAATGGGAGAAAAATATGCTGAATATCTATACTGATATGGACTGGGTAATGTGTTAGGAATGTAAGGATTCCCTGTCATTTGATGGAGATGAAAACTATCAACCTACAGAGGACTGAATTCAAAGACACCCCGAAAATCAAAGTGAAAAAGTGATGCAGCAGGTTAGTCCATTTGGCTGAAATTTCATTGCAGCAACTTAAAATGGTACTCAGTAGAATGTATGGCCCCCACATGCTTGTATGCATGCCTGACAACATCGGGCCATGCTCTTAATGAGACGATGAATGGTGTCCTGGGGTGCAACCTGGCAGCATCGGGTGGACCGAAACATGATATCCCGGAGGTGTTCTATTGGATTTAGGTCAGGCGAGCGTGGAGGTCATTCAATGGTATCAATTCCTTCATCCTCCAGGAACTGCCTGCATACTCTCACTGCATGAGGCTGGGCATCATTGTGCACAAGGAGAAACCCAGGACCCACTGCACCAGCTTAGGGTCTGCCAATGGGTCCAAGGATTTCCTCCCAATACCTAACGGCAGTCAAGGTGCCATTTTCTAGCCTGTAGAAGTCTGTGCATCCCTCCATGGATATGTCTCCCCAGATCATCACTGAACCACCACCAAAACGGTCATGATGAACGATGTTACAGGCAGCATACCATTCTATATGGCTTCTCCAGACCCTTTCATGTTTGTCACACGCTCAGGGTGAACCTGCTCTCATCTGTGAAAAGCACATGGCGCCAGTGGGAGACCTGCCAATTCTGGTGTTCAATGGCCAATGCCAATTGAGCCGAGCAGTGAGCACAGGGCCCATTAGAGGATGTCAGGCCCTCAGGCCACCCTCATGAAATCTGCACAAAGGAGCAGATTTCGTTCCTGCTGATAGGTTAAGGACCTTCTAAGTCCCTGTCCATCTTTCCTAGAGTAACTGCCTGTCTCCTGGAATCTCCTCCATGCACTTAAGACTGTGCAGGGAGACACAGCAAACCTTCTCGCAATGGCACGTATTGATGTGCCATCCTGGAGGAGTTGGACTACCTGTGCAACTTCTGTAAGATCCAGGTATCGCCTCATGCTACCAGTAATGACTTAGTGATGGATTCTGACTTTCTGCGAAACATATTGCATCTATTGAGTGACTGTTTTTCATGTTTTTTTAATTTAATTCTATGGTATCGTTCATACATAGAGGCCCCAGCTAGAAATGATGCTCTGCTGGACCTGTTAATCTAAAACCATGCAGAGCTTATTGCTCATATAAAAGAACTGGGTGGCAGTGACCATAACATGATTTAATTTAATGTAAATTGTAAACTACAAACTCAGAAAGATGAAAACACTTAATTTTATGGGAGCAAATTTGGAGCTGCTCTCCAAGATTTAGACTGGGAATATTAGCATAGCAGAACACAGAATGGAAATGGGAATGCTTCAAATTGACTGTATGCAAACAGGGGCGGACTGACCATTTGGGCACTCGGGCACTGCCCAAGGGCCCAGGGCCAGTAGGGGGCCCCATGCAGTGTTGTCCAACTGTCTCTAAAAATACTGAAGCTGGCTTCCCCCTGTAGCTTTAGGAATCTTCCACTCCCGCCGCTGCTGCCCACCTGTGAGCTGTGTGTAATAACTGATGCATGGAGGCCTTGGCAGAACGGAACTGGCTGCTGTCCGGACCGGGAGTCTGCTCCCCTGTCATGACCATTCATCTTCATCCAGTCTGCCACCCATCACTGAGAAAAGAGCACAGAGGTAACAGTCACCACATTCTTGGGATAATGCACAGAAAGACATCTTCCTTCAGGTAGTGAGCTGATTGAGTGGGGGGGATGGATGGGCAATGGGGTGGGGGGGGTTGGGGTTTACAAGAAGACAGATAGCCAACCAGCCTGTTATCCTTAATGTATGTGGCTTGGTGAGTGTGTAGAAAAAGGTATATCCCCACCTCTGCTACACCTTCATATCCAGGCTGTGTGTACTGTGTGATGCCTATCACATTGGGGGCTGCACTCCTCTTGTTCTGTCTAGTTTCTTCCTGGGATCGTTATGTGGGAATCAGTCCCCTCTGGAGACATCCACTTAGAAGCAGTATACTTTTATCTAATTGCTGATTGTAATGCCTTCCTTTTTTAATGTCTTGGCAATGAGCCATATGTTATTGATGGTGACCTGTTTTATATCCAAGTTGCTGTCAAAAGATTCACCATTGTGGTTTATTAAAGTGACACTAAAGGGTATTTTTTTTTTTTATTAAAAAGATATCATACTTACCTGCTGACTATCTCCTGTAGCATGTCTTCAGTCTCTGACCATCTCCTGCACTGTGTCCGCAGTCTCTGACTGTCTCCTGTAGTATGTCTGCAGTCTCTGACCGTCTCCTGTACTTTGTCTGCAGTCTCTGACTGCCCCCTGTAGTATGTCTGCAGTCTCTGACAATCTCCTGTAGTATGTCCACACTCTCTGATCATCTCCTGTAGTATGTCTGCTGTCTCTGAGCATCTCCTGTAATATGTGCACAGTCTCTGAGTGTCTCCTGTAATATGCATGCAGTTTCTGATCATCTCCTGTACAATGTCTGCAGTCTTTCACCATATCCCGCAGTATGTCTGCAGTCTCTGATCATCTCCTCTAGTATGGCTGCAGTCTCTGATCATCTCCTGTAGTGTGTCCACAGTCTTTGACCATCTACTGTCGCCATTGTAGTTTTAAAGCATGTCATGTTTGGTATCTATTTACTCGGCATACCATCATCTTTAATACTTTACCAAATAATTGGCGAATATATTGTTTTTTTGTGCATTAAACGTTAAATAAAAGTGTATTTTTTTTAAAAAAAATTTGCATTTGAAAAATCGCTGTGCAAGTACTATGTGACATAAAACATTGCAGCACCCACCATGTTATTCACTAGGGTGTTTGCTTTAAAAAAAATATATAATGTATGGGGGTTCAAAGTAATTTCCTAGCAAAAAATACAGATTTTTTTTTCATGTGAACAAAAAGTGTCAGAAAAGGCTTGGTCTTCAGGTGGTTAGAAGAGTGAGTGATGTGTGGCATAAACTTCTAATGCTGGGCATAAAATGCCCCCACCCCCCAAAATGACCTCTTTTTGGAAAGTAGACACCCCAAACTATTTGCTGAGAGGCATGTTGAGTCAATAGAAGAGTTTATTTTTTTACCACAAGTTTTTGGAAAATGACAAAAAATGTTTTATTTTTGTACACAAAATTGTCACTTAAATGATTTATTGCTCACACATGCCATGGGTATTTGTGGAATTACTCCCCAAAATACATTCTGCTACTTCTAGCCAAGTACAGGACTCCAAAATCCAATAAGCACCTGACTACCTATCACAGTTTCCTAGGCCCTGAAATGCCAGGATAGCAGCAAGCCCCCCCCCCCCCCATGACCCCTTTTTGGAAAGTAGACACCCCAGGGAATTTGATAAGAATCATGGTGAGTATTTTGCAGATCTTGTTTGTTGCCACAAGTTTTTGGAAAATGAAGAAAGAAAACAAAAACATATTTTTTCTTTTCTTATATTTCAAAACCTCGTGAGAAAAAAATTAGATCTGAAAAATACTCACCATGCCTCTTTTTAAATTTCTTGGGGTGTCTACTTTCCAAACAGGGGTCATTTGGGGAGGTTTGTGCTATCCTGGTATTTCAGGGCCTCTAAAACTGTGATAGGTAGTGAGGAAGTGAAATGAGGAAGTTACAAACCTTCAAACTTTCAAAGTGGTCATTTGATTTCAGGTTCCTGTATGTGGCTAGGCTCCCAAAAAGTCTCACATATGTGGTATCTCCATACTCGGTAGAAGTAGCAGAATGTATTTTGGGTTGTAATTCCACATATACCCATAGATTGTGTGAGCAATATATAACTAAAGTGACAACTTTGTGTAAAAAAAAAATTTTTTTGTCATTTTCCAAAACCTGTGGAAAAAAAATAAATCTTCCATGGACTCAGTATGCCTCTCAGCAGATGTGTCTACTTTCTGAAAAGGGGTAATTTGGGGGTGTTTGTACTATCCTGGTATTTTAGCACCTCAAGAAATGGGATAGGCAGTCAGAAAGTAAAAAGGTGTGTAACTTCCATTATCTATACAATAGATAGATAAAAATATAGTTTGTAGATGCTATAGCTTTCACACATAGCAATCAATATACACTTATTGGGATTTTTTTTTTGCCAAAAACATGTATCAGAATACATTTTGGCCTAAATTTATGAAGAAATTTGAGTTTTTTGATATTTTTTATGACAGAAATGAGAAAATTTTATTTTTTTCAAATTTTTTGGTCTTTTTTTGTTTATAGCAGGTGATGTGGCAGGTCAAATACCACTGAAAGAACGCTCTATTTGTGTGACAAAAGGACATAAATTAAATTTATTTACAATATTGCATTCCCGTGCAATTGTCAGTTAAACTAGTGCAGCGCTGTATAGCACAAAAATAGCGTAAATTGCAGTATCTATACCATAGTTTGTAGATGCTATAACTTTCACACAAAGCAATCAATATACACTTATTGGGATTTTTTTTCTACCAAAAACATGTATCAGAATACATTTTGGCCTAAATTTATGACTAACTTTGAGTTTACTATATATTTTTTATAGCCAAAAGTAAAAAATATAGTTTTTTTAAATAAAAATAACATTTTTGGGGTAATTTTTTGTTTATTGCGCAAAAAATATAAAGCACATAGGTGATCAAATACCACCAAAAGAAAGCTCTATTTTGTGAAAAAAAGGACATAAATTTCATTTGGGTACAGCATTGCATGACCGCGCAATTGACAGTTGAAATAGTGCAGCGCCGAATAGCAAAAAAAGGCCTGGTGAGGAAGGGGGGTAAAACCTCAGGAGTGCAAGTGGTTAACATCTTAAGTAAGTGTGAATGGTATAAAAAGCTCCTATTTGCTTTATAGAACAGGTGAACAATGATTATAGGAAATTGATCAATTCAGAATACAATAG